GGGCATGGATACTTTTAGGTGATTTTGGTGAATGTGAGCAAGGTCATTATAAAGTTGATCGTAAAAGGATTGGAATATTCATTTTCGAAGGAATATCATTATAATCTTGTTAATCGGCTTATGAGTCCTATTAGGAACGTTAATTATTTGGAAAGGTGCTAAGCCTTCTAAAGTTGCAGTTAACATAGCAACAATTGAGAATGTTGATTTCCCCATTGTTTATTTTCGTTATATAATCATAGAAATTCTGTATTTTCTGATTTGCCGCCAAAGAATAACCCAAATCATTCATTATCCAGAATGTTTGTGTTATCTTGACCAAATTCTTTAACTTGACCTTGGTGACGTAACCAATGGGCAATTAATTCTGCAAGTGGTCCAATAAAAGGTAGAACTAAATCAAAGCGAAGGAAACAGTAAATCCAGAATGGAATTAATTCATTGACAAAACATACAAGTCGTTTCCATGTGTACGGGTCACGTAGAATGAGAGAAGATATGATAAGTGATGATCGAGCGTGGTTGTGCCAGAAAAGTAAGTTGAGAACAGAATAAGTTTTTGGTATATCTATTAACAGTAGGATGGTGAACGTCCACAACCATCCAATAATAAAGTAATAATATATCTTTCCAAGAAATACATTAGCATGTATAATGTGGTGTACATGGCCATGGCATTTTTGTATGGATTTAACTGAATCGAGCCATCTTCGTTATATATGATCTTAACTTTTTTTTCTTTATATTAATATGGATTGTTGTTCATATTATATCAAAATGCAGGACCATAACAAATTGGTGCAACGGGACTTTGATTAATTAGAGATTGAAAATGATTCATTTTCAAAATAATTGAAACATTCTTCCCAATCTTTCACTTTTGAACACCAAAATCTATCTCATCCTATCCATTGCACTGTGAAGTACAGTGGTGATAAGACTATAGTAATGAAGAATTAGTTTGTAAAAATGTAATGAATTCGAAGAAATTGCTCTAAACTACATAAAATATATCGATATAATTAAAAACGCTCATAGTAAAAATCATGGTGGTGGTATTGGCGAATCAAATACAAGAGGTGATAATACTTGGCATTATAGTTGCTTTCATTCTTGGTTGGTGTCGCTATCATGATTATAAAGTTAAGCCAAAGGATTTCTTTAAATACAATGAATTAGCTAATACTGGTGATGACGCTCTAAGGGTCACTATGACGTCTACAAAAGATTTCAATAAAAGAAATTTTATCAATGTATGCATTATTATGGTGTTGATCTTAAAATTGATGAATTCGATGACATTGAAGAAGTTCAATATCTTGATAACAAGATATTTGGTAACACTTATAAATTAATCCTGAAATAAGGAAACTTTATAATGACCTTGCTCACATTCACCAAAATCACCTAAAAGTATCCATGCCCCATAGAAAAGAAAAGATTATATTACCATCCCGCTCCACCATTACATGTATCCTATGACCTTTCGAAACTCTATTACGCCAAAGTGCATACCGATGGTACCAAGCAAGTTCGCAAAAACCTAAAATAAGATCTGAACTGTATGAAACACATAAGGATGGTACTTTTAAACATTTTGACGAAATTTATACCATACCTTCCTTACAAGAATCAATTATGCGACTGACAGGGCATGGTCTATTAACAGCATGGTTGTCAGAAGCATGCAATAGGTTTGCAAGATACTATAGTGAAGAAGTTAAATAGATTAGTTAAACATTGCCGAATATCCAGAGATCTTAGAAAAGACTTAATTGAAATTAAGAATTCAGCTGACCTTCGTCCTCATTTATTCCAAAACCTTGACTTAGCTTGAATAAATTATAATTTTAAAGAATTAAAAGTTAAAATTCCAGCTGACATTTGAAAAGAAATCTGTAATTATAACTGGCTTAATAAACCTCTAGCTCTCCGAACCAAAAATTCTACATTCTTTTCATTTTTACGAGCTCACCCGTTCCCCTCATTTTACTAAGTTCTAACTGTGCAAATGAAACTCCGGGATAAAGATAAGGATAAAGTATTCTAAATTTTACGAAACATATTT